CTTTAAGACCCCAGACGCTATACTTTTTGATAGCCGGGCACCATCAGCTTTCTTGGCCACATTTGCTTATGCACCCATTTGTCTTCAGTGATCCCTTCGACACCTCGTGATCACACAGGCTGATATGTTCTTCCATGTGGGCTTTGTTGCTTCTGAGCTAGATGACCATAAAATTATTTTCATTGCTACTTCATCACTGTCATTTTGCTACTGTGATGAATCGGGCGACCCCTGTGAAAGGGTCATTCAACCCCCAGCGGGGTCGAGACCCACAGGTTGAGAACCGCTGTCCTAACTGAACAACTCTCCTGAGCATTTCTCGCTGGTACGGTAAGCTGTTGACTTCCACAATCAACTCTGTCCTTGTGAGCTTTGTCCGTGAGTTTTGTGCAGCCACTGCAAGGAAGACTGGAACCCAGAGTTAAGAGTAGAGTGTATGAGGCAGAACCTCTGGTGTTTAGATCTAAAGTAGTGCTCCTTGCAATGGCTCCAGACTCGTAGAAGCGTGGGGTTTTGACAGAGAACGGGCAGAAAGGGCATGGGAAGTCAAACCTTTGCCTCCTACAGTGGTTCCTCTGGTTATTGTCACTTGTGATGAATGGAAAGAATGGGACACACATGCTGCAGCTGAGAAGAGCAAAGACGCCCTGGGGGCTGGGGAAAGTCTGTCTGATTAAGCAGTGCAAGATGACTAGAAGGCCAGTGCCTATTGACCCACCCCGCCAGGGGCCCCACGTCACAAGTACATAGAGACTACCAGGGGTGGAGGAGAGATGATCAAATGTGGTTATTATTAAAAAGGTGAAGGGTTATATGTTTGCTTGACTGGACTATTGATACTGAATGTTTTTCCTTCTGGTATTGTAAAATAGGAAATCAATTGTGATTACAAGGACGTGGAAGCCCACCTTCAGACTTTAGCTGATTGGATATGCATGCTCAAAGGGGTATTAGGAATTGCATGGACGAAATGGCGTTTTGTTTGAAGCCAAAGTGGAGTCAGGGGCTTAGAAAGAAAGCCTGAGCACCGCCCAGAAACGCTGTGAGAACAAGAGGCTGACATTCGCAGGGAGACCTGTGTCTGCCTTCGGGTGCACCAGTGGAGGACAGTCTGTGTCCGTCAGAGAATGCCCCCTCCGAGGGCTGAACATTAAAGGGAGCCAGTGAACTTGGGGTGCTCATTACGGCAATCACCTGACTCCACTTGCTGAGTGGACAGTCAGGGAAACGGAAGCAGCGAAGAGATGGGCTAAATGTGGGCATGCTCCATTGGTACCTACTGACCTGATCCACAGAGAGAAGGGCAGGCTGGTCTGAAGTTTAGAGAGTTGTGTAGCTCCTGAGCTGATGGACATGACCCGGGCCCAGGGGACCAAGGCTGATAAGAGTGTGAAGAGGCCAGCTAATCTCAAGTGTAGGGAGGTGGGTGTGAAGTCCCAAGATTGCTGCTGGAGCCCAGTGGAGCCAGTGTGGATGGCAAGAACTGAGATGACCAATTGAAGGGCTCTTTGACACTGTGGATTGATGGGAACCGCTGGAAGTGGATGGTGTGCTGTGGACGAAATTTTGCACATGCATGCCGAGAGCCCAAGTTCCAGTGTTTGTCTCTTCAGAGTACTGGATTGTTAGGGATGAGCACTAAGAGAAATGGAATATCTAAACCGGGAAGAGATAAAGGCATGAAGTGGCTGGTCTACAATCTTTCGTGGGTCTGTTCTCAGTAAAACGAGGAGGTAAAAGCATCCTTCGTGTATGAACAGGACAATAGAACACTAGGGGCAATGACTTGTTTAATGTGGAGCTTCCAGTCAAAGTCTCCCGTCATTCCCACCAAGCAGCCTTTTCCTGCCTGGGTCTGGGTCAGAAGGTTGAGGGTGGGGTGGGGAATACGGATAAGATTCATCTGTGAGTAATTGTTCACAGGCTTCCTTGTGATCGCCATCCGGCTGGGTATAAAACGAGCTCTCTGAGAAGCAGGAGGGGGAATTTCCCTACTAGTGAGAGCCGGGAGCGGAGCATGTCCTCGGACCCTGAGATCAGAGTCACAATGCACCTCCTGGATCCAGAAGACAGCAGTGACATCAGGGGAGCAGCTGCAGAACCAGGGGCCACACCACGAGACCAGTGGTAGACTTCCCAGCCCATAGAGCAGTGGTTCTCAACCTGTGGGTCGCGACCCCTTGGGGGGGGTGTCGAACGACCCTTTCACAGGGGTCGCCCAATTCATAACAGTAGCAAAATGACAGTGATGAAGTAGCAATGGAAATGATTTTATGGTGGGGGGATCACCACAACGTAAGGAAAGGGTTGCGGCATTAGGAAGGTTGAGAATCGCTGCCATAGAGCAAGTGAAACTGAGTGCTTTGTGGTGGGAGGCTGGTTTGTGTAGTGGGGTGCCTCTGGGCTCTTAATTGGGGAAGCTGTGCTTGCTGGCCCCCAGAGCTGAGCTGAGGTATCTTCAGGCTGAGGCTTACTGGAACGGAGTGCCCTCTGGGGACTCAATGCAGGGAGCTGAGTGACTTGGGTTGAGACTTACAGCAGCGTGGCATGTCCTTTGGGCATTTATTAGCAGCCATGAAAGAACTTGGTACATTGCTCTCCTGACTGAAATGTGTGCTGAGCATTTGTCACGGGCACTGCAGGCTGTTAACTTCCACAATAAGCTCTGTAATCGTGAGCATCGTTCTTGAGTTCTGTGTGGCCAATACGATGAATGATAGAATCTAGATGAGAAAATAACTGCTGCTTGAAGTCAGAGCTCAGTGGAAAAGCACAGAGAACAGATGGATGTCGTCACGGATTTCATTTTCCTTGATCTACGACAGAGCAGCAGTCAACAAATCAAACGGCGTACTGCACCGGGCACATCTGCTGTACGAGGCTTCTGGAGAGTGTTCAAAAGCAAGGATGTCACTTTGAGGCCTCGGGTGGACCTGACCCAAGCCGTGGTATTATCCATCACCTCAGATGCTTGTGAAAGTTGGACAGTAAATAAGGATCGTGGCATTGTTTTTATACACGTATGTATATACACATATATGTGTGTCAATTATCTGTAACCTCATACATATATGGTTTTTTATATATTGATTATGTCATGGATCGCCAAGTCTGTCAGACAGGAAGTACAGGCAGCATTCAAATGAGGATGACTAGACATAATGTGGACAAGTGCTTGGTCATCAGAAACTGACACCGTGGGTGCAACAACGGGCTCAAGTCTAACAATTATGAGAATGGGGCAGGACCAGGAAGCACTCCCTTTGGTTGTACACCCGGTTGCTACCAGCCTGAACTGACTAGAAGGCACCTAACCACACCTTAGGAAAGGTTAGCATCCGACCCGCCCAGCAGCTCTTTGGGGGAAAGATTTGACAATTTGCTTCCTGCTTCTGTAAAGATTACAGTCAGGAAAATCCTCTGGGACAGCTCGATGCGGTCACATGGGGTTACCCCCAGTCTGGATCGACTCGTCTCTCAACTTCCTAGCCACAGCTTTTTCACTTCCTGAAAGGTTGCTTCAAAGTTCCTATAAAAACACAACTGCTTGATGAAAGAAAAGCAGATAGAAGGAAACGCAGGATGAAGCTGTCATTACCCGGCAGGGAGCACCCACTGAGAGCATTCCCTGGCTTTCTGACCGCTGGATGTTCACTATAAAGCTTCAAGTTCCCACCAGCATTTTGAAAAAGCACACTCAACCTCAAAACTCGGACATAACCTCTGTGGCCCCAAAGATGCCTCAGTGGGGCTCTAGGACACCCCCATCCCCAGTTTCTGGGGGTGCCAGCTCCTGACTGCTCCCTACTGGTTGCTGCAGGAGGATAAGGCCAAGATCCCTGGTCCCAAGACCCTCCTTCTGCCACCCTCATCCCCATCCTGGTCGGCAGGTCCTGGCTTCCCGCCCCTGGCCGCCCAACTCACTCTTCATCCTGGATGTGCAAGCCGCTGCCAACCCCGGACGGAGAAGAAAGGGGCAGGAGGGTGGCCCCGCCTTTCACTCCTCTGAGACAGAGTCCTGCTCTCGGACCTCCGCCACCGTCGTCGATGGAGAACGTTAGGCTCCCACAGCCGTGTTGTGTCTCTGTTACCCTGTTACCAGAGCAACGTCCACGCCCCAGCCGCCCAGCCCCCCCACCCCCCCAAGGTCCGCATGCGCACTGCAACGGGCAGCCTTGGGTTGGTTGCTAGGTAACCTCCGCCGCCGCTGGCTGCTTAAAGCCATTTCCAGCTTTTGCTGGGAGACAACTTCCCTTTCAGCAGGGACCCATCCTCAATGGGTCCCGGGCATCCTGAGGACTTAGGCACTCAGGACCTCCGACGTGGAAGGTAGACAGCCTTGAGCTTCCATGGATTGCAGGGAGCTGAGAATCTACCGATCTGGCATGGGGGAGTTGCTCCTTAAATGTGTAAGTTTTTCTTCTTAATGCAGCAAGTACCAAGGAGTGTCTACTCGGGGCCAAACATCGTTGCCAGCACGGATATGAGAGATCAAAATGGACAAGTTCCCCGAGTTTTTGAACTGTCTGTTCCAGTGTGAAGTCGAATGAATGGATGAAGCTTGTGTGAATATGGTGACGACTAAGCAAGACACTGCTCTGGCCTCCAGAGAACAGGCAATGCCATCAACATAACCATTTAAATTTAAATTTTAAATTTTATGTTGAATATATATATATATATTTAAATCATTTTATTGGGGGCTCATACAACTATCACAATCAATACATACATCAATTGTGTCAAGCACATTTGTATATTCGTTGCCCTCATCATTCTCAAATTATTTGCTCTCCACTTGAGCCCTTGGTATCAGCTCCTCATTTTCGCCCCCTCAAGTATGTGTGTGTGTGTGTGTGTGTGTGTATATGAAACAAGGACCCCTGGTGGCACCATGCTTAAGCACTTGCCTGGTACCCTAAAGGTTAGTATTGGAGCCCACCAAACGCTCCGTGAGCAAAAGATGTGGCGATTTGCTTCCATAGGGATTTGCATCCTTGAGAACCTTACAGGGAAGCCCCACCCCACTGTCCAAATTGACCAGCTGTCAGTGGGGTTGTTTGTTACAAAAGGCCCCTGGGTCACATACCACAAGGCTAGTGGCTTGAACCTGCCCAGCAGGCCCTGCAAGTAAGGCTTAGCACAGGAGATGATTGCTGAGAAAATCCTCAGGGACCCATTCAAAGTTTTTAACAAGAGCAGTCCTACGCTGCACCTCCAAGAGCCGCATCAAGTCACGACACACAACTTAGCTGGTGCCAGGGGTCAGTTCTGACTCATATCAACCCCGTAGGGCAGAGTAGATCTATCCCTGTGGATTTCCAAGGCTGGGCATCTTTACGGGAGCAGACAGCCTCTTCTGTCTACCTTGGCGTGGCCGGTGGCTTCGTACTGCTGACCTTGTCGACAGCAGTCCAACACATAATTGACTACCGCGCCGGCACGCCTTCACGGAATATGTAATTTTAAAATTTGCCCTTCCAGCAGGTTTTGTGGGTAGAGTTCAGTGACATTCACGGCTTACTCGAGGAGCTTTGATGGCGTAGCAGTGAGGGGTTGGGCTGCTAACCACAACATCATCAGTTCAAAACCATGAGCAGCTCTTCAGGAGAAAGACGGGGCTTTCTACTCCCATAGAGAGTTTCAGTCTTGGAACCCACAGGGGCAGTCCTCTAAGGTCACAATGAGTCAGATTTGGCTTGATGCAGGGAATTAGTTGACTGCTTACTTTATGTGTACCCATCAACCATTATCTGCTTCTAGAATGTCCATCGCCCGTAACATATGCAGGGTCGCATTTTAGAAAGCTCTTTGTCATTCCCCAACTGTTCCAGAAGATGAAGTGTGTCAGGCAGAGTTCTCTAGAGAAATGAAACCAGGACACTTATGATTTGATATAGGTAGATAGAGGTAGAGATGGTATACTGTGAACCCTCATTTATCGCGGTTAATCGGTTCTAGACCCTACCGTGATAAATGAAATTCCGCGAAGTAGGATTCCTTATTTGTAAATCAAATATTTTCGTAGTTAGAGCATAGAGGACATGAAAAAACACCCTCTAGTCACCATTACACTCGTATTACCCAATTTATTAAACGAAAAAGGGAAAATACAATAAAACATTTTGGACGTTACAATTATCATTTATTATTTATTATATTATTTATGGCATCTAGTTTACAGTATCACGACTTGTCACGATGCGCTTTGCTTCCTTGTTGAAAGTGAAAGCTCTTTGTCATTCCCCAACTGTTCCAGAAGCCGTAGCACGGATGTTTTTTTCTTCTTTACGGATGGAGTGGACGGAAGACTCATTCAAGTCGAAATGGCGTGCAACCTCCACGATTTTCTTGCCATCTTTGATCATATCCAAAAATTTTACTTTTTCCTGGATGGTGAGCATCTTCCTCTGGCGCTTATTTTTATTGTCAGAAGGCTTAGAAGAAGCAGCTCGTTTAGGAGCCATCATAGGGCTTAGGTAAAATTTCTTTAAAATCGCAAACAATTACAGTACACTGTACAAAAGCAAAAATGCATCTGATACGTAGCTCCGATATGTAGCGATGCAGACAGATGCGTGTATAGTATGAGCCAATCAGTGGCAGTAATGACAGAGCATGCGCTGTTACGCAAAAACCGCGATAGAGTGAAGCCGTGGAAGTCGAAGCGCGAAGTGGTGAGGGTTCACTGTATAGAAAAGGATAGTTTGTACAGTGAGAAGGAATGTAACAGTTCATTAGTCCACACATCAGTATGGAGAGTTCAGTTCAACTCACTGTCATGGAACAGTTAATATCTGGAAGTCCTTCAACTCATGTGGCTGCTGAGGAAACAGCAGAGTCCTCCCTGGGGCAGGGCAAGGCAAGCAGAGTCTGCCCACAGGCAGCGAACATCAGGGCGGGCCACCGACAGTCAGTAGCTTGGGAGCTTAGTGAGGCAGGCCCAAATGGCATATTGAATGCAAGCCATGCAAGATGGCAGGATCCACCAGCCTCAAGCTCAAGCGGTGTATGCACTAGCAACGTGGCGAAGCAGGTCTCGAAGGAGCCTCAAGTTCAGGCAGCACGATCCACAAGTTTGCCTGGCCCACATGTAGTGTAGCTCACAGGCTGAGGCAGAGCACTAGCTACAGCAGCAGCAGCATGCACGGTCCAGCATGCTCAGATCACCAGAAAGTAAGAGAGAGGGGGCGGGCCTTACAGAGCCATTTATCTCTTCACCCCCCAATCAAACTGCTACCTGATTAATCCCACATGTTCCTATTGTCCAGGTTGGCAGAATAAATCTATCACATGAAGTACCCCTGCTTTCTCTTGTTAAAATTTTAAATTAAGAGGGGTTGGCCCCAATCCCAACTATGTGGACAGCTGCCCCTCCCCCCAGAAGAATTTACTTCAGAAGACAGCACTGAAACTACAGCTCAGGGAGAGAGACATGTCTGATCAGAGAACAGGGGAGTAAATGAAGAAGGAGGAAGAGAGAGTGGAGCACATCCTGGCCCACCAAGCCTTGAGGACGATATTTCCGCTCAGAGCAGCTAAAGCACAGAGCTGACCCCACTATGAGACATGACATCCCTCACTGCCCCATAGCCCTACAGGAGACAACACTGGAGACACAATGTAGGAATTGCACCCGATATGACACCACCACACCGAGGCAAAACACTAAGAGTGTGCAACAGAACAGCAAGGGGAGCAGAGCAAGGAAGTCCCAAGGGAGTACCAAAAATAGACTTTGGGGCTAGGGCATACCATCCCATCAGACTCGACCAAAAAACACTCCTAAAGGTGAACAAACAGACCTTGAACTATTTACAAGCTTTTCTTTTTTTGTCATTGGTTCTGTTGTTGTTTTGTTTTATTTTGTTGCTCTGTCTTGTTTTTGTGCATGTTATTATCTCCACAGGTCTATATAGATAAGATAGGCAGGATAAAAAATCTGGAGGAGAAAACAACAGGACTGAAGGTCTGGTGGGACATGGGAGAGGAGGAGGTGGGGAGAAAAGAAGTGGTGTTAACAAGCCCAGGGACAAGGGAACAAGTGATCCAAAATCTGGGGCGAGGAGGGTGTAGGTAGGAGGCCTGGTAATGCTAGATTAAGGGCAATGTAATTGAGAGGAATTATTGAAACCCACATGAAGGCTGAGCATGATAGTGGGATAAAAGGAAAGTAAAAGAAAATAGAGGAAAGAACTAAGAGCCAAAGGGCACTTATAGAGGTCTAAATACAGGCATGTACATATGTAAATATATTTATATATAAGGATGGGCAAATAGATTTATGTGCATATATTTATAAGTTTAGTATTAAGGTAACAGATGGACATCGGGACTCCACTCCCTCAATGCAAGAACACTTTGTTCTATTAAACTGGCATTCTCTGCTGGGGGTGGGCCTGGCTGCTCACAAGAAGGGGTGGTGACAGCATCCTGAAATCAGTGATGAGGGTCATTGCCAGGTGTTGTGAGTGATCTAAGAACCCACTGAATAGTGCGTGTTACAATCTCAATCAAAACAAAGGGCGGTGCTGTCAGGTAAGCAGTGGACCGCTAACCTCAAGGTCGCGGCTTCAAACCCACCGGCCACTTCACATGAGAAAGGCGAAGGTATCTGCCCCATAAAGATGGACAGCCTCCTCGGGACCCAGATGCAGCTTCGCTGTGAGTCAGGAGTGAGTCAGGCGGAGTGGGCTTGGTTCCGTTGTTGGTATTGTGCGTGCTGGTGTGCCTGTTGGCGCTGAGAAGCCCTATCGAGTCTCACAAGGCTACGATGAGTTCATCTCTCCTTTCACTTTCGCCTTCTGGTCTTTTGCTTTGGGGGGAGTTCCTGGGGGAGGCTGGTGCCCTCGAGTCATATGTATCCTTCTGTCAGTTCCTTCTGCTCAGTTCTTCCTAAGCAGAGTCTAAGCCCCAGGCTCCTTTCTGTCTCCCGCAGGCCGGAGCGTGTTCCTGGACAGT